AAAAGTAAATAGTAATGAAAAGTTTTGGCCAAAAATATTGTACATTTATATTATTAATGTTATAAAACAAATAAAATCTTAAACTTAAATATTAAAAATTATATAAATACTCTCTACAATACTAAAAATAATAAAAACTTTGGTTATTTAAATTAAACTCTTTAATTAATCTAAAAGATTAATACTTACCTATGAAATGTTATACGTGAATGTTTCTTCCAAGAACTTTTGCATCCTTTCACACTACAAACTGTAGGCATTTCGTACAAATTAAAATCTGTCTAAAATTTATAACCTGTTTATAATAACTAACCTCACACGAGTAATAGTACAGTCATGCGCCATACTACTTTTCTACCAACGTTACGCATGCGCGACCATCGTATTACATGGTTTTCGGGAACCAATTTTATATACAACATCAATGGAAGTTAGCGATCTAGTTATAATATAGATATCTGTGGTGACGACCAGTGTTTTGAATATTAAATATATGGGGCATTCTTTCTCAACTTTACACCCATGCTGCCCATTTTGTATTTGATCTAAAAATTTTTGAAAAAATCTTAAAATTTACAGAAAAATGTAAGCTTTCCAATGGCGCGTGGCAAAATTATCAAATTCAATTGGATCATACTTAAAATTTCAGAAAACCGAAAAAAAATAATAAAAACGGTAATTATTCAAGTGTAACGATTATTCATTCGACGTTTTTCTCTTCCAAGTGATAAATAAATTAAAAAATAGTAATAAGGTTCTACTCGCTCGTAATAGAAAGCGTTGTAAAAAAAAAAGATTACGTGTCGAAGAAGGTATATTAAAATCAACGAGATATATTGCATAAAGTTTTCAACAACGATCAGATAGAATGGCTTCAACATGACTCAACAAAACGTCGGCTATATAAATGGTCTAATGAAACAGTAAAGAAGGCACTCAGACTAAAATTAGCATGTACAGAAAATGGTTATAAAGAATTAATTAATCAAAATATTCCTTTACCATCGAGACGCACACTGAGAAGAAGTTTTGAAGGTATTAATTTTTCTCCTGGAATATGTGATGATATTTTTGAAGCTTTGAAAGATAAGATAGAATACTTTACTGATGATCGTGAAAGAGACTGTATGTTTGGAATAGACGAGATAAGTCTTGTAGAAGGTGAACGAATTGATCCGTTGACAAACTCTATTACTGGATTTATTACTATTCCTAATTCCCAAGGTAAAGATTCTTTATAAATATACTTATATTAATATATTATGTTCCTTATTTTTGTATTTTTTTGGTATTTCTTATTTTTTAAGGAAAAACAAATATGCATGCTACACATGGTTTGATTTTTATGCTTGGTGGTATTTTCACACGATGGAAACAAATTGTTGCCTATGATTTCACTAATCCTAAAGGGTTTGATGGTGCACGATTAAAACCTATTATTGAACAAATTATTCAAAAAGCTGAAAAAATCGGTCTTTATGTGCATGCAGTTACATCTGACATGGTAGCATCTAATCGAAAAATGTGGCATGCTTTTGGAATTAATACTTGCAAGTCCTTTACTATTCAAAAATTCTGTGTCTTATCCTGTCAATCCACAACGTAAACTCTTTTTTTTTGCTGATAGCCCTCATCTTCTTAAAAATCTTAAAACTGCATTAATAAATAACAAAAGTGTTATTGTCCCACCAAATTATATCGAAAGCTTAAATTTATCATCATCTATTGTTCGATGTTCACATCTTGAGGAATTAGTTGCAGAACAAGAAAATATGTTTTTCAAATTTGCTCCAAAGCTGAATAAAGATATTCTCACAACGACTCAGTTTAACAAAATAAAAGTTAATAAGGCAGTAAATGTATTTAATCGAAATTCGAGCAGCGCATTGAATTATATGAGTGAAAAATATTATAATGAAGAATATAAAACAACAGCCTTTTTTATCGAAATAGTATCTAAATGGTTTACTTTGATTACTTCAAGGCATGCCTCAGTTGCGTTGGGAAAGAAACCTGAAAGTGTAGAATCTGAAAACAAATTTAATGAAGCTGTTAACTTTTTAGAGTCATTTATTGAATTATTTCGAACCATGAAAATTGGAGAAAAGAAAGATATATTTAAGCCAGTCCAAGTCGGCGTAGTGATCACAACAAATTCTTACATTCAACTAACTAAATATTTAATTAATGAACGCGGATTTTTGTACGTATTGGGTAGCCGATTTACAAATGACTGTGTTAAAAACGTATTTTCAAATTTGAGAAAGAAATTTCCTACACCTAATGCGTTACAATTTCAACAGAGTTTGAAACTTTTGAGCGTTTCTCAGTATATGCAAGAAATAAAAAACACAAATTATGAACAAGATGATGGTACTTTACTTGTTGATTTTTTAAAACGTTCTCGACAACAGAAAACAAAGATTATTAGACAAATATTATTAGAAATCCCTGAAATTCCTGATTATATTGAAAATAAGATTATTGAATTGGATAATAACGAAAAAAATGCTTTTTATTGTATTTGTGGTTACATTATTTCTAAAATTTACAAATATTACAAAGTTTGTGACGAATGTATATATTCTGCAGGATCTAAAAAATATAATTCTAGTTATAAATATTCAACATTTCTTTATATGCGTTGTTATAAACCATTGACATTGTTCTTTGTAAATAATGAAACTTTTGATTATTTTTACAAAATGGAAATTATAATTCGCCGATATTTATCATTTTTAAGAGGCGTAAATTGTGATTTAGTTCAATTTTTTACACAAAAAATGAGTAATATTAAATGTGATACTTTAAAAAATTGTCATAATTTATCTGACAAAATTATGATATATTTTATCAAATACAGAATAAAAATTAATTGCCCAAAAGAACATCTGCGACGTCCAATTTTTAATAGCAAGACAATGGCTATGCACTCTATTATTAAATAATGTAAAACTTATGTATTTTTATCTTTTTTAATAATAAATTAATTGATAATAAATTGCAAGTGATTCTATTTTGTTTTATTCAATTCAAATTATATCGTAATTATAGTGAAATTTCGACAGCAATGATTGGTCGCGCCATATTCTTTCGTGGCCAATCAAAAAGAGGACAACATTGGCCGGACTCTTACTTCTAGGGACTCTAATAGGGGATATTTCTGTCCTTTTTTTGCGCGCGCATCATGACAGTAATGGCCGACAATTGTCAACTGGTCATAACCAGTGAAAGTTATGTCCAAGTTATATCATAAATTATGTGTACGAACATTATGTTACGAATATTATGTTAAAATAATATGTTAAAAAATGAAGACGTGCGTGTAAATATTGGAAGAAGCCTAACGAGAAAGAAAATATATCTTTCCACATGTAAGTAAAACATTCTGATCTATTTCACAATCTGTGTAAGCAATATTCTTAATATATTTGTATATAATGTATATATAATTTGTATATATAATATACATAAAGTATAATACGTATTTCTATATATACTATATTAAATGTATTATATATATATATTAATGTTCTTGATAGAAAATAATTGTGCTATTTATAGGTTTCCGAAGAATGAAAGTATTCGACAAGAGTGGATTATGGCAATGGGCAAAGAAAATTTTGTTCCTCATGTAAATAGTTTTTTATGCAGCCAGCATTTTGAAAGTGACTGTTTTTATTATCCTGTTGGTGGGACGAAACAACGCATTTATATAAAACCAGGATCTATACCAACAATATTTAATATTCCCCATTATTCCAGGTATAAAAATATTATTAATTGCGTGTATATAACTAAAAATATATCTCTTCTGCAATAGTGTAAATTATTAATAATTGAAATAAATTTATTATTAATAGGAAATCAAAAATGCCCTTAAAACAAAGTTTCACTAATATTAATTGCATTGTTGAAAAAAATAATGCAATAGTTAAGTTTGGCAATGAATGTTTAGAAAGAGATATAACTGAGTCAAATGTTGAAACATATGCCAATGATACTATAATAAATAATACCAAAACATATCAAATAAAAACTGAAAATACAGAGTCAAATATTAAAATAACATCATGTGTCAATACTACTATGGATACTACAATGGATAATATGATAGGATATCAGATGGCAGTTGAAGATACATCTAAGTATGTATAATATAAAACAATCACTGTATGTGTATTTGTTTGTGTCATTTAAGTTTTATTAAGACATTGTTGTTGTGTATATAGAGAATATCCTGCAACTCCTAAGCGTAAATTAATTCGCCGGGGAAATCCAAGATATATCGGCGATTGTACTCTTAGCGATTTTCAGTCACCCCGAAAAGCTTTGCGGAATTAAAAAATTGCCATAGCTTACATTGATGTACAACGTAAAAAATTAGCAAAGATACAAAAACAGAATTATCATTTGAAAAGAAAAGTCACACATCTTGAAGAATTAATGACAAATTTGAAAAATAAGAAATTGTTATCAGATGATGCTGCAAGAGTTGTATCTGTAAGTAACTTATGAAATAATACTGTACAATTCTGATATTACTGTGACTATTGTTACACGACACTTTTAATCAGGTTCAATAATATTGATAGTTCTAAAACTGGCCAAACACAATTATTCCTCTGAACTGGAATGACTGTGATTAGTTTTCAAACTATTGATGTTATTAAACTTGATTAAGAATATTGTGTAAACAACAGTCTGTATACGGTATCGTACAATATTCATTGTAGCATTAGGTGCTTTCTAGCAAGACACAGTGTAACACAGTGTCTACTAGTGTATGAAACACACTAATATGTTTTTTCTCACACTAGTGGACACTGTGTTACACTGTGTCTTGCTGGAAAGCACCTATATACAACATTCATTTTTTTCTTTAGTATTTCTCTTTATAAAAAAAATTAAAATATATCGGTATCATTTTTTAATGAAATTTGATTTTATTCTTGAATATAGGCTTCAATATCGGAATCGAGTAAAGCGATTTTTAACAGACAATTTAATAAAAAAAGTAGAAAAGAATTTCCGCAGATTCTCAGAACATTTGCCACTACCTTGCAATTCTACTCCAATAAAACATATAATTATGTGAGAAAAACTTTTATGAATTCTTTACCACATCCTGAAACTATCAGAAAATGATGCCAAAAATGTGATGGAACTCCAGGTATTACAAAAAAATCTATAGATACCTTAAAATTAAAAATTTGTGAAGCTAATTCTAAAGGTAAAATTTTATATTTCAATCTTTCAATAGATGAAATGTGTATAAAACGTAAACTTGATTGGGATGGCAAAAAATATACCGGATTTGTAGATTTAGGAACGAATATTGATACAGATGAGTTGCCACAAGCTCAATACGCATTAGTTTTCTTAGTCACATGTATAAATGCTCATTATAAAATACCAATTGCATATTATTTTATTCATGCATTAACAGGAGAAGAAAGAGCAAACTTGTTGAAACAGTGTTTGTTAGTTGTTGACGCTTTTGCGCGTCTTGCGAGCCAACGCTGGCGAATCGCGAAATCGGAGCAACACGTCAGCTCCGATTTTTGCTCTCTGTCCAAACAGATTTGTTGTCACCGGTCGCGCTGGTGCTGAGCTTTTTTCCCGCTCTGGGTGGATCGAGTAGCTCGGGGCCGGGGGAGAGCTTTTGCATTCCTAAGCGCGGCCTACTGGCAGTCTTGCGGAATCGTTTCACGAAAAAGGCCGCGTGCGCTCCGCGTTCTGCGAAACGCGTATTTTCTTGTGCCCGGCTCGGCTCGGCACCCCGGGTAAAATTTATGGTTGTAACAATTCGCACCGCCGTGTTCAGGGGTTGAGAATTGCATCGAACGATAATAAATAAAGTGCTGTGAAACAAACGAAAAGTTGCTCCTCTTTCGCGCCATCCGATCTGGTACATCCGAAAACTACAGTTGCGCTGGCTCCAACCGACCATTCTACCGCACGGCGAGCCAACAACGAACATTAGTATTGCATAAAGTTAATGTACACATTACATCTATTACTGTGGATGGAGCTGCTTCAAATATTGCTATGTTGAACAAAATGGGTGCTAATTTAACAGTAAACAATTTGGTACCATATATTAACCATCCAGTAACTGAAGATAAAACTTCCATCTTTCTTGATGCTTGTCATATGCTCAAGCTCGTTCGAAATGCATTTGCTAGCATAAAAACATTCCGAGATAAAGACAATGAAATTATACGTTGGAATTATATTGAATTGTTAATTCACTTGCAAGAAACAGAAGGATTGCGTGCAGCAACCAAAATTCGTCGACGCCATTTAAATTGGCAACGTGAAAAAATGAAAGTTTCAATAGCAGCGCAAGTATTAAGTACAAGCGTAGCAAATGCGTTAATATTTTGTGAACAAGATTTATAGATAGATAAATTTTGTAATACTGGTGCTACAGCAAAATTTTGCCTTACTATCAATAATATATTTGATTTACTAAATAGCAGAAACCTCTTTTGCAAAAATCAATCTGCACAATGTATAACAAGACAAAATTATGATGAGATCTGCAAACAAGTAGATAGTTATTGCGACTATTTAAAAGGATTAAAAAATGTTAATGATGAATCCATACTTAAATCCAACCGCAAAATGGGTTTCTTTGGTTTAATTGTGTGTATGAAAAGCATATTGCATATTTCTAAAATTTTGTTTCTTGATAATAATTTTAATTATCTTATGACGTACAAATTATCTCAAGACCATCTAGAAACTTTCTTTAGTGCTATGCGTAACCATGGAAGATTTAATAATAATCCAACGGCTAAAGAATTTATTGCTGCTTATAAACGTTTACTAGTTCATGCAGATGTAAATATTTCAAAATATGCTAATAATAAAGTAATAAATGAAACAGTTATCTTAAATATTTCTCCTACAACATTAATCACTACTGAAGGTATAGATAATTTAATGCATGATTGTACTGAAAATGAAATACAAAATTTTAATGACAATAAAAACGATCATGATTATCTTTGTCATAATATTTGACTATGTAGTGATTATATCAAGGATGTAGTTGGATACATAGCTGGTTTTATTGTAAAAAAAGTTAGTAAAGTTATAAAATGTGATATATGTTTATCTAGTTTAACTTGCGATAAAACTTTATCTTATTTGCAAAAAAGGAAATGTCGCGGCGGTTTAACTTCAGCGTCAGAAGATGTTGTCATAACTTGCCTTATTGCTGAAAAAATTTTTAGAACACATAATAACTTGTTCAATAAAAAGAATATTGTTCTTAAATTACTCGTAAAAGCAATGTCTGCTATTCCTTCAAATACTTTTGACAATAATGCTCATTTATTTGAACAAAGTCCTCTTATTGACCATAGAAGTCAACTAATAAGAATAATTCTTAAAAAATATTTTATGATTCGTCTTCATCATGAAACATCATCTAAAAATGATAAAATCATTAGGGTAAGATCAATATACACTAAACTCGTATTATTTAAAAATCAATAATTTCTTTTATCATTGTTGTGCCCTTGGTGATAGGGCACAGGTTCGGGATCTGCCGAGGAGTTAGGCCGGGAATCCGGGAATAATCCTTTTTTGTTCTTCTTAATAAAAAACAATCTCCCATATATTTATTGATTTCTTGATTTATTACAAGTTCCCTTACTTCTATGTAATCTAGGTTCCGTCAGGAATCCTTGCCTTAGTGTAGTATCACGGAGCCCCAAGTTATTCTTATTCGCTTTTAGCGAATTGTTATAATTCGCGTTCTTCTAGATTTGTGGTCCCAACGGACATACGTCCGTTTCTTGTGAATGATAGTTTTAGACCCGCCGTCGTGATCTCGCGACGGCGATTTTATATACGTGAAACTGCACTTGATTGCAGTTTTAACGATCTAACTTGCTGACGAAATTCGATCGTTCGTCAGCATTGTCGCGTAAAAGTGAATTAGGTTTTAATTTTCGCTGCGCGATTTATCCGGTGTCTCGCATGAGCCGGAAACTGAATATTAGATATCTTAATCTGATATGCAATAGATATTTTCTTATATTTTATTAATATATATATATTTTATTATTAATAATTGGTTGTGGTTCTTTGGACCCACAACATCCTCCCCCCGTTGAGAAAAGAAAACGAGGAGATACGAGTTTTCGTAACCTTGAGGCTCCATTTATTTATTCTAAAATGGACTTCGTTCTTTCCATAGTTTTATTCCTAATATAATGGCAAGTATTATGGCAATTACAACAGCTATGCTACTTGTTGTCATAGGATAGACAAATGCTTGTTCTGCGAATGGATTTTTTAGATTGTCGTTAACATCTTTATTTATTTCCTCAAGTTTATTACTGAGGTCCATTAATTCTTTCGGATCTTGTATAATTTTTTTAAATTTTAGTCCTTGCAATGGACTTTTCTTATTTTGTGTATTCTGATCTTTGCTAAATGTTAAATTAAAATTTGGTAAATAAGTTTGTATATTCGCGATTTGCTCAACGTTTTTTGTTTTTATTGTCATATCTGTTGCAATTACCTTACAGTTTTCTTTTAACGTTATTTTTCCTGTTCGCTTAATTACTACAACAGTTTCTTTATTATTTTTACAATGTATATATATTTGTTGTTCCTTAAGTGTAGAGTACAACCATGTATTTGGTGTTTTTAATGCTATCCATAAAGTTTGATTACTCTTAATATAACGCTTATCGCAATTATCCGTCATTTTTTGTTATATGTGTAGTACGTTTGTATTTCGCAAAGAGAATTTGTGTTACAATATAAATAGGACTATAAGGTTCGCATAAATATGTATTGTGTACATTGATACATTTATTTAAGTTTTCTTTTGTTATAGTCATGTATGTCGGTCCGTCTGTACTTATCGCGATTATATGTTGATTTACTTCAGTGAAAACGAAAATGTTGTCATGGTCATGTATAGGTAAAGGAATTATTTTTATTATTTTGTATTTAGGAAATGTTATCAAAGGGTAATTGTAGTATAGTATAAATATTTGTATTGTCATAGTATGCGCTTGTGGTAATAATTTTTTGATGGTATTCCATTCTTCTATTTTGAGTCCAAAGGGAAATTGTGTTCCTTGAGGCAAATGAGGCGTCGCTTCTTTTAATTCAGAAATTATTTTTTCTATTGGTGTTATTTTTGGATTTAATATTCCGTTTTGTATTTGTGTCAGAAAATCCATAATATCTTGA